CAAATGCATATATGCTGACACACATTATATTACCCTTTCGCCGGCCCTTTCGCCGTGCTTTCTCGGATCTTTCGCGACCACAGAAAAGCACTCATTTTGCTTCTCACATGTTCCGGGTTTATATAAAATGTAAACAGGGGTTTTAGGACGGCCCCCATTTGGGGATAATGGAAAAGAAAATGGAAACTACTATATCATATAGGGTTATATAGGGTAAATAGGGGTCATATATTGGATAATGGAAAAGAGAACGGAAACCACTATAATGGGGTATTTTGATGCCCCCAAACCCCCAGAAAACAGGCTGCTACGGTTCACTGGGGACTTTTGTCCGGGGCATCAAAGCTGCTAGGGTTTAGGGTTTAGGGTTCAGGTTCAGGGTTTAGGGTGTGGGTGACCTGGAAACCTGGACTCTCGCGAAAAGTACTTTCTCCAGAGCATTTGAGCTATAGTCCAAATTCCTAGTATCCCTCTTGATAACCACATAATATAAGGTTTAGGATCTAAACTCCTAGTATCCCCCTTGATACACCCTAGAATAACCCTATAGCTCATTCGACATGGACCCAGGTCCTGCACCCCTCCTCCATTGAACAGCTTCACGGCGAAGGCAGAGTTAAAGCCATACTCACGATAAACACCGAAGCTACTGGTGTCATCGTTTTCATAGCCTGGCGCTTGCGAACGAGCTCATAGCTTCTCTAAGCCCGGTGCCCCTTTACATGCCCAACCATTCTTGGATCCTCCATTCAGAGACCCCTAAAACGGTAAAGGACTCTCCCACAATTAGGTGTACCATTTTGAAGGGGTCCCTGTAGTAAGGATGGAGGTATTTGGGGCTCTATAATGGGGGTCCCCCATTTTAGGGAAGCTACCAAGTGGTTCTGAAACTTCTACTTGGCTTGGGGCGCTGAGGCTCAAAATCAACCTAAACGCTAAACCCTCAATAAGTCAGTCTGTTACGGGTGTCTTAAGTTCGATCAAACGACAGAGCAGAAGCTACTGCGGTTAATCTGAAAAACTGGATCATATTTTGGACGGGCTTAGGGTTTGGATAATGTTGAACATCAAAAAGTCATGTGCTCTATTGGGGCGTTGTCCACAAAAAAACGCCAACAATGACCCAGGAGAGTGCGGCACCGCTGAGTTGGTTGCTGTTGCGGAACTTAAGCTAAGTTACCACAATTAGGATACCGCAGTGTTCAATATACATTCATGTCAGAATGACTTACTGTAATTTCAGTTCCTTAACTCGACTGGTGGTAAGTAGGGATCAAGGTAATACAATCCCTATATAAAACATATAAAATATATTCCATTATTCACTGCTAACCCGCAGTAAGCAACAGCAACCCAGCTATTTACTTTGCTTTGGTTCTCTGATCCTAAACCCTCAACCCTAAACCCGACACCCTATATATGAACATATTCCCTCAACAGCAACCCTAAACCCTAAACCATATTCCCTTAACAGCAACCCAGTTGATTACTTTTTTTCGATTCTACGATCTGCTGAATCCAGTACCAAATAAACATCTACTTACCAAAACCTTTAGGGTTTAGGGTGTCTGACTATTACCCCAAAACCCAATTACCTAATTATTGGCTTCTTGGACCCTTGGGGAATGGGCTTAGCTTCGGAGCAAGGGCTTGGAGGTGCACGGGCACTTGCTTCCTTCAGGCTCCTGTTTGGGTTTTAGGTGTTGGGGTTTAGGGTTTAGGGCTTAGGGTTCAGGGCTTAAGGTTTAGGGCTTAGAGTTTGGGGTCTAGGGTTTGGCTAATAGTGTGAGGCAGTGGGTAAAACCCATCCCTGCTGCCCTGGCGCTTGCGGTCAAGGCAGCAACGGAAGATGACGAGGTCTCGAGCCCAACCTTGTCCTGCCACACAAAGGTCTAGGGGTTTATAGGGTTTAGGGGTTTAGGGTTTACGGTTAGGGTTTAGGTGTTTAGGGGTTTAGGGTTTAGGTGTTTTGGGGTTTAGGTGTTTAGGGTTTAGGGATTTAGGGCTTAGGGGTTTAGGGTTTAGGGTTTTGGGGTTTAGGGTTCAGGGTTTAGACTTTAGCTGGGGGCCACCACGTAATCGGTCATAAGCCATCAGCCCTTATGACATAAGTAGAGTATCTTTGGCACGCTCATGAACAGAGATGATACTCCGAGACAAAGACATGAATAAAGATCTAGAGACTGCAACAGCGATGGTACTGGTGGTACTCAGGCAAAGGCTGCAAGTTCAACCAACCCTAGACCCTGAACCCTAAACCAGCTGTATCAGGGGTGGCATTGGTTCCCCTTGCTGCAGGCCTTCCACGTCACACCCGCGCGCCGTTGGAAGCGGGGCTCCGTGTTGTTGATTTCCTGCACGTTTCGAAGAGAGAAGCGTACCTTGCATTGAGAGTTGGGGGCGGTTCCCAGAATTAGGGGTACCATTTTGGGGGTTCCAGTACTAAGGATTATAGTAATTGGCGGTATATATTGGGGGTCCCACTATTTTGGGAAACTACCACTTGTGTTTGTGGGTCTTTGTACAGTGGCCATGTTGGTGGAGGACTTCATGCGGGATGCTAAGGGATACTGAATGTAAAGTTCCCGAGGCTGCAAGCCTTTGAACAAAAAGTCTCCTAACCTGTTCCTGGCTGAAATGGCAAGGACTTTCATCCGTGCGGCCCTTTAAGGAGTTTAGACTATAGCTCACATGAACTTTGCAGGCCGGGTGGCCCCATAGAGGGGATAGTTGGCCTGCTGCAACGGCGGTGCCATGATTCGTGGTAGTGCATAGCGCAGCCAATCCTTCCAGCTGTCTTCACAGCGTTTTGGAGAATGTGACATTCTTCTGTAAGTCAGGGTTTACGGTTTAGGATTTAGGGTGGTACTTATTCAAGGTCCCACATTATCACACACAAATGGGGCAGGCAAGCATCGTCACAGGCCGCGAACAAAGCCTCGTGCGAGTAGCGATTTACAAGAGAGAACGTTTTCCACTTATAAGGCACTACAACGCACCAAAGCGCACGTATATTTCAACTAAAAATACGACTCATGCAAGCTTCTCTTTCGATGAAAGGACATGTGGCTTGATTGGCAGACCATCTTCTAAATTCCAAAGTATGGACCCTACTTACTGGTGCTTAAGGGAGAGTGGGGGAGATTTCCTAAACCCTAAACCCTAAACCCTATAATGGTGCCTATACTCACTCCCCCACTCCCCCTTAAGCACCAGTAGGTCGGTAGGCCTAGCGACGGGCTGTAGCCTTGTGATCTTTATGTGCCTTAAAGAAAAGTACATGAGCTACGGTCAATATTTCCTACATATTTCATGGGTTTAGGGTGTAGGGAATATTTCTTACATGATTTAATGGACATGGGTTCTTTCTTCAGGACTAAATGAGGGACTACACTAGACTGCCAGAGGGCCCCCATGTCCACAAGGGTTCCTTTTATGTAAGGTTCAGGGTTTAGGGTTTAGGGACAGTAGCTCATGTGTACCAATCTACCCTTGCGACCCCTGTATTTCCTCAAGCCAGGCCAACGCAACCCTAAACCCTAACCCGCAAGTTTCTTTTTGGAATCCCAACCCTTATATAAGCTGAGACCCCATGAAAATCATACATGATAGTAATAGGGTCCGAATTTGGGGCCCAAAGCCCTCTCATTCATCCTAAACCCTAAATCCTAAAATCTAAGCCCTAAACCCTAACCCACTGGGCTTACCAAAGCCCTCTCATTCATACTGCTAGCTTGCAGAGATGGGCCTGCCTCAACATGAGGGTCCAGGATGACGTAGGGTTTTCTTCAAGAATAATCATAGGAATAATGCAAACCTCCCTCACCCCATCTAATACCATTTTGAAATGTCGAGTGATCATTTATGATTAGGCGTGGAGGGAACCTCCCTCCACCCCTAATAATACATATTCACTCGAAAGTTCAAAAATGGTACTATATGGGGAGAGTTCTTTATTAGGAGGGCTGGCAGGGGTTGTTCTTCGGGGAGGAGATGACATCAACCGTTCCCCGAAGAGCAGCCATTTGTTGGCGCACCCCAACAACTTACCTCCTCACCAAAACTAATGTAGAGGCCAAAACTTAGATCACGGCGTTGGGAAAGAAATGTTGGTGGCTGTAGTACTTAGAATGACTATAGCTGCCTGGGGGATAAAATTGGAAATCACTCAGGCTACAACATTGCTAGTCAGGACGTCCTGCACGTCTGGCACGCTGTCGATATCACGGAAATACTTCCTTGTGAGGTCCAGCGAGAAGTGGTGACTGCTCACCCAGTTTTCGACCGCCCGAGTCACCAAGTATTTGGATTCGATAACACCTGCTGCACGACTCTGGATGGACCAGGCTAGACCAAGGAATGTAACGGCCTAAAGAATTTCCGATATATGTTGGAGGTCTATTAGAAGCACCCTATGAAAAAAATCATACAAGGAATCTGGCACCATGCTACTCGAAATTGTTTAGGCCGCCAAAGTACACAAGGCAGCCACATGCAACAGAGACTGCAAGCGGGCCTGATTTCCAGACGAAGTTCATCGCGCTAGCTATTAAGAGAACATAAATGAGCATCGAAAGTACCTGGCTGGAACAGCTTCACACCAATCATCTGATGGATCGCACAGCAAGAGCAAGATTCTGAGGACGCCACACTAAGTTGCTTTTTGTCATCCATCTTGATAAACTGGTTGATTCCAGACTCTGTGCCGAGCACCCGCTGCCGATAGATATCATGACCTCAAACAGATCTGCCGTCGTGTGGGGATTTCCCAACGCTGGAATACCCTAGGGGATAGGTCGATAGATGGTGCTTATGCAAAGGGATTATGGGGTCCCCTCATGATCAAGCCCCATTTTGGAAGACCAGAAGCGGCTTAAAGATTCGCAGCGGCATAGGCCCGGTTAGATTGGGTTGCTGTTCAGGGACTTAGATCAAGCTACCATAATATGGCCATATTGTACATGAAGGGGTTTCCTTGTTATAGTACCTTAGCTTAAGCTCCTCAACAACAACCCAGTACAAGCACGGGTGGTGCTGCAATGGTTGCCTTTTACGCGGCCCCTGTACCTTCTAAGTTTGAAACCATGGGCCCCTGGTATGGTCCCTTAACCCTGGGATCCTTATGTACCAAGTATATACCTTACATGTACCCTCAAGGGCCCCTAGAATCCTCCTACAAAAGCTAAGGGCCCGTATAAGGGGCCCATACCTCTAACCTTAGATACCTACAATCCATAAGACGACTATGATCTTGACCTGGGCCCGCTGAGGTTCTAAGTCCGGTAAGAATATTGCGAGGCATTGGCTAGCGTTATCCAGAGTAGTAAGTATAAGAAACTATATATGATACTGTTGCTGGGGGAAATCCTGCACCACTTGGGTAACCAAAACTCCTAGTATCCCCCTTAATAAGCCCTATAGAAGTCCCCTAGATTATCCCCTACATAACCCCCTTTAAGGAGTTTAGACTATAGCTCACTTAGGTACTCAAGACTACTGTACTTCCCAGTATTTAGAGGCCTTGGGGTGGCGCAACCCATACTCAGTCAGCAGTCTTTTTTTGGGGGGGGGGAGGGGGGGGAGGTACCTATATGTGTATATATATATGTATATGTATGAACATATAATAGTCCTAGTGCACCACTATTAGCGTTTGGGGGGACCTAATCCAACTTTTAACTTGATTTTCCCCCACCCAGCTGAGGTTCCCGCGGGACAGCGCTTCCCAATTGTGATCAACATGACGGCCAGTTTTCGACGGCAGCGCCCCTTTGGGCTTCATACCAGCAGCAAATTCAAGGGAAACTAGCCCCACCCAGACCCCTGGGCGGATC